TTTTAATAAGAGACCACTTATTTAAACATTTGCTCTGATTAGCGAATTCAAAGACGGCAGAGTCGGAAATTTGTCATGCAGACAGCGTCAAAATTGCGAAATCAATCGCCATTCGGGTGCGTCAGCGATCACAACTCAGGTTCAATTAAATCCGCGGATCGGTCCGAAGTCACGTTCGCCGCCAACATTGGCGAAGAAAAACGGGTCCTCGTCGGACGTTACGAGCAAAAACTCGACGCCGAAGTTGCGCGCGCGATCGCGGTGTCGATGATCAAGGGACGCCACGGCGGCTATACGTGCCGAAAACTCGTCGCGTTAGCGCAAGTTTCGCTTAAGAGTAACTTTTTCCGCGGCCCGTAATATGTCCACTGCAAGAAAGCGGAAGCGATTTGCCTTGGAGCGACAAGAAAGTGGCGCGCGCTCGGGGAGCGCGTCTCCTCAGTTCCGGGTCCCGGAAGAGCAACGACAACTTAGTTGATCCTTTTTTGGTCCTCTATGGCTGCGGTTTGTCAGAAAGTGGACTGAAGTATGATATTGCAACTTATCACAAGCGGATGCCGCTCGGACTTTCGTCTAAAAAGTACCGCCAACAATCCCGATAAATCATCCGCGAGCGCGTGTCTAGTTTCAAGCATGGTTTTCTCAACCTGACAAGACGACATCGTCAGCCCTAATCCATCAATATGAAATATAATAATGCTACTTATTAAGGGAGAAGAGAGAGAGAGAGAGAGAGAGAGAGAGAGAGAGAAAGAGAGAGTCAAAGAGTAATGTCGATAAGTATAAAGTTGAAAAGTAACGCCCGTAATTTCCAGCGGAGCATCGATCGAAGGATAACGAAGCATTATTTCTCTGATATCGTATGAACTGACGTTTATCGCATATCAGATGACTCATTGTGTTACTCAAGCCGAGTGACAAAAGTCGAAAGGTCGTGAATCCGTTCGCGGCCGTATCTCACGTTTCCCGAAGACGCTTGGCCGCGGCGACACTTCGGACATATCCAGTCCATCGTTCTCATGCATATGGAATTTCCGAGCGACACGTTCGCGTCCTGTCCCATGCTGTCCCAATACCAGAAGCGCGAGAGATAGCTCTTCGTGCGCAAACCGCCGTTTCTATCGCGGCTCTATTAATTATCGCGATCTGCCATAAATTCTGAGTAATAGTTACGGCGTACAGGTCGAGAGGGTTTATTAGGGGTACTGTTGTGTGTGCACGGGGTGGTGGGGAAGGGACGTGCGACGATGCTGCTGAATGCACGCAGAAACCGCGCTGCTGAGGGTAGCTGCGGGTAATTACGACGGGGCGATATATAACGTTCGCCTGTTACATTTTGTACGCAAAACCGACGGAATTCTTCACCAGACAAATTGCATCGTCATCGCTGCGAAGTCGCCGTTGTGAAAATTTATATCAGAAAAGTAATGATGTGCGCATTTTACATATGTGTGCGCTACTTATTCATGTTATATATTTTAAAAATATATACTACATATTTAACAAATATATTTATCAAAAATTATATTATTAATATAATATAATTAATATATTTCATTATATATTTTTCTAATCCGTTTTAAATTTTCTGCTGGAGTTATGTGCTTAAAATATATTGTATTTTATAGCAGATATTATATTTTCATTGATATTTGCATAAATTTTTAGATAATATATACTGAGATCATTGCTTTATTAATAATTTCACGTAACATATTTTAATTGGATATTTTATTGCTTTATTTTTTAGTTTGTTATGTATAAATATTGCATTAATCGTAAATCATTATTAAAATAAAAATTTATAATTTAAAAGATGATATTAAAATATATATACATGTAGATATAACGATCATTATGGATTTTTGCAGCTCACTTGATGTATGAATATTTTCCTAAATTGATAATTTTATTGCAATATATCTTAAGTAATCTTAGTTTTTACTCTATATAAATAATTAAATGTATGTTAATTACCAACAATTATTATTAGGTCAAATTTTTAATTTATACTCACGTATTTTAATTATTGGTTGTTGAAATTTAAAACTTTGAGATTTAATTTTATATTTGAGAAAAATGTAGAATATATGCTACAGCAAAATGTATAAGAAAGAGAATAATTAAAATATATTTTGTGCACACGTTTATAAAATAAAAATACTTGCATAATTATCAGGTACTGTTAAACGTACGTTAAACGTGCGTAGCACTTGTTTAGATACACAATCTCTATGATGATAGTATAGTTTACGGTACAAGATAAGTGTAGTGTCCAATAAAAGAGCCAATTAAGATTACAAAAAATGAGCACATAAAATGCGAACATTGTCTTAATGTGTCTTTTGAATGGCTTGGTTATAGTTAAAACTTTCGCGGTAGAGTTCGAATAATTACGGACTACGATAATGAGAGGGCATATTACATTTATCATTTTACTGAAATGACTTGCATTTTCAGTTAAAGCCATAATTTGCATTTTGATTTAAAGAGACTTTAAATGGGGATTTGCGTTTTCACCATATTTTTTAGGCATTTATACGATTTGGAAATTTTAAATTGTAATATCATAAAGGATATAAATTCAATTTCATGGCTTTTCGGTTGTGAGTCTGGTTCTTCGAAGTTCCAAGGAGACACGGTCTCAAGAATACATCTTATCGCTCACGCTCCGGGTTTCCGTTAAGATCTTTCATGTAAATACTTAAGACGAGAGGTTCTTCTCTCCATGAAAGTGATATAGAAGCTTCACAAGACCTATCTCAATAACGGCATAATACTAGCGGTCACGAAGTAAGAGGCAATCGAGAAGTCGACAAAATCGAATCGCTTGATAAGATTTATTTTCCTTCTATATTGATTGTGGATATCATAATGTTATTTCCAGCGATTTGTGATTTATTTAAAGAATGAGTTTTTATCGTCGGCGTAAAAATCACACAATTATAGAGAAATATGAATTTTGAAATATAACTTTATAAATAAATAAATAAATTTATTTATTTATAGTCACACATCAGAGAGATGTCTGATACTTTTTGAATTACTTAGAAATTTCTTCTATCTTGCTACGGCAATATGTATTGATAGAAAATATATTTTTACTCTCGTTTGACGAAAATAATTTTTCAGTTTCGCAAGTGAGCTTGGATATAAAGAACGTTACGACGAGAATATTAAATGTGTTAAAAGAGTAACTTGAAGTACAAAGTGCTAGAATAGAAGTTTCGTCTTGGTCCTTTGTTCCTTGCTACGTAATCTACTCACCGTGGTACTATTCGAGATCCTTTTAGTACGTATTCTTCTCGCATCGTCATGTACATCCAATAAGCACTTTAGATATTGGAGATTCCGTATGGTGCGCCTTTCTCTCTCTCTGTCTCTCTGTCTTTCTCTCTTTCTCTCTCTCTCTCTCTCTCTTTCTCTCTCTCTCTTTCTCTCTCTCGCGTGACTGGCAAGTGCGCATCGTCAACAATACTCCGTGCGTGAAATCTGAATGGTATCTATTGTAACACAAAACCCTCTTGTCTCGGTGTCTCTAGGGCGGATTATATACCGGATGCACCTCGGTAATCGGCTTCCACGATACACGTCTGTCATCTCCCCGTTGGCTGCGCGCACGCGACGAGGGTCCTCGATGGGGACCATCGTATAAACTTTTCGAAAGGGTTTTGTCTTACGGCACACAAAACAGTCGAGTGCCTCTCGTATCTTTGATCGAGAAGGCGCATTCGGGATTCATGATAGCGGTCGACTGTGTCGAATGAGCCACTATTGTTATATCTCTAAGAGAATAGCGAGGAAACAAACAAATTTGTTATTTTATTATCACAAATTTGTTATCACAAACTGTGAAAGATAGGCTCGTTAAAGTGTTACTTATTAAAAAAAATTGCATAGTGAGATTATTTTAACTTAAATATTTAATGTTGTATTAATTAAATGTTTATTGTTGTGTTAATTGAAGAGTTTGTTACATTTTAATTATTAAATATTTAATTATTTTTTAGAAACGTGATATTGAGTTTCTCTTAATTATTTATTTTGTTATTTGTTTGGGTAATATTTTTGTCCTTAATTTTCCAATTACAATTTTAATAGAGTACTAAAGTTTCTCTTTTTTTTTAAAGGAACGCTCTGAAGAGAAATATATAAATGCTCTAAAAGTGAAACGCATTCCGTGTATCTTTGTGGTACCAGGATGCATTGTTACTGTTTACTTTGATACCTCAGCGGACCGCGCGGTCTAAACGAAATTTGTGGCGTCCTGAATGCCTGCCGAATGCAAAGCAACGTCCGTCGAGAGTACAAAGTGAGAGAGTCGTGCGCGGACAACGGTAATCTTGCTACGATCGTCTATTATAAAGTACATTTTGCTACTAAATTCATAATGGAAAACGCGAGAATGGCAAGTCCCCACGCGGCGGTGTCTCCGAGACAGAGGCGCACTGCCGCTCGCTCAAACGTCCGTCAAATATAACGAGCATCTTTTATTGCAATAAAACTGACTCATATCATTTACCACGTCGTCACGTGTGAACTATACGTCAGTCCGTAAATTGATATAAGGACATGTATAACCGTGCGATATGAAAGCCTCCTTTATTGCCCCATTCTCATCCCTATGACGTTCATATGTCTTTCTTCATACCGCTCGCGCACAAGGAGCATTTTGCTAGTACGGTGCCAGAACGGGAATATTCCTCCTTAATACCTTCTTCTCTTTCAGCTACTCGGCGCTTGGTCTATTATCGAATTTCCGTTTAATAACGATCTCGCTATGTATAAAGAGATCGTAAAGAGACGAATACAAAATATACATGAAATCATTACTTATAATTCGGAATTCGGACCCCTGTGACGAACCCGTAATAATTATTTACGTAACATTTTATAAAATGACTGCGTTGAAAAATTATCGGCGACGTCGCTAATACCTATAACAGCGAATAAATAATGGGAAAAAACGAGCGATTCAAGTTCTTTTATTTCTTTTGCAGATGTCACCGTCCAAGAGATAGTCTCTTTTCGTGGAGCTCCGGCTTCGATAACTTCACGGGATTCGTCAATTGGGGCTTCTTACTGCTAGGTATTGGTGGTGTCCGGCTACTGCTTGAAAATTTCATAAAGTGAGTATCTCGAATTGTCGATAATACTTTTTTCTTATCTAACAGACGTGACTGATTTTATCGGGTCATAGTCCGATGGATTTATTAGTAATATTCGCTCTGATTGGTATAAAATTTATACACGATAATATTGACTAGTCAATCAAGGCAAATTTATGCTAATCGTTTTCATTAGCACACTGAATTATTATCTAAACTAATAATTATTTTTATATAATTATTAGTTTAGATATATAATTAAATAAATAATTATTTTTCGCTTGTATATTTTATTTAACTTTATAATAAAATATAACGGTTTATTAAACAATTAGCTTGTTATTAATAAGACGTTTTGAAATTTCACGAGATATTTTTGTAATTATTGAAGAAAGTTCCACGGAAAGTCTTCGATTATTCGCATTCGAGATGGATGAATTTTAAGAAAAAAAATCTTTGAATGAGGAGCTAAATGCGAGATCAATTGAATCAAATCCGTTGGTCTTAATAACAGCACGAAAAGTTTTTCAAATAAAAAGCAACTTTTTGCTAATCTATTCTATTTAGATATTAAACATTCTCTCCAATTCTTATTCTTATATTTTTTATTATTATTCTTAAATTAGTTCTTCGAATATTTATTGCACCATTATTCACAAAATGTGTACACGATATATAAATGTATGCGAGCGTCTATAATGTATTGAATTCGGGTCTGAGGATTCGCTAAGTCTAAATGACTGTGGAAATCAGTCATTCTCGAGGGAATAAAAAAAAAGGAGGAAGTTCTGACAAGCAATAGCGCCATCAAGAAGTTGTAGCTGGCCCATCGGAATTAGAAGAGGGTGCCTTTGCGCGGGAGTAGCGACCAATGGGAATACGATAGGGGAGCAAAAGGCGTTCAGAAGTGCCTCTACCGGTTTGATGGATGCGCTGCCGTAGCAATTGACGGAGGGTAGCGACAAAAAGAATCGATCGCCAGCAGGCGAGCTGACAAAATTGAGTTTGTAGCAGTAACTGCTATACAGCGCGATTATTCCCTGTACTTCAGAGGTGGCTGCAGATCGCGTAAGTGGATGTTATTTTGCGCCTGCTCGGTAAACGGTTGTTGGTACATCGTGACAGGTTGTCAACCGATAAGGTTGCACGATCTGTTTTGATGCGCTTGTATTTCATTGGAAACACGCTGTGGGTGGTAAACAAATTTGATACCTTTAGAAACCGGGCACTGTTATTGTTGTGATAGTGCATGCATGAGTATGTCATACGATATTGGATTCAGTAAGGTTTTTGTAGTAATGAGAAAGATGATAAGAAAAGAAACGGTACAGATCGGAAGATCGAAATATCGTCTGTCAGGTATATACGGATTGTTAAGCTTGCGACGCGAGATTCGAAGTTATATATTTTTTAGTTAATACGACGTTGTATAATATTGGAAATCTTATTCGCAAAATGAGTTACGGGAAGCTACAGCAATCTTGCGAACGAATTTAAATTGGATATAAATTATTACGTCTGTATCTCTCGAGCGAGATAATCTATGCTTATCATTGCGATAATTGAATTTATTTCAGCGCTCGTGGAAATTTATGTAAGTACTTTCTAGTACGAAATTATTTGATTGACTTATCAACATCGCAGATCGTTACTTTTGCGATGCGCTGCCGGTGAAAAGAAGAAAAGGCAGTACGAGTAATAGCAAATTAATTTATGAACGGCAGGACGGAGCGGAACTGACCGTTCTTTGCCTTTTACAATCGAATTAGTCGTCGCAGTGATGGCCACGAACCGGTATTCGCGAATCCGACAATCAAACAATTGAAATTTAAATATTTTTTTTGTATTTTATTTATAAAGCTACATTTTGATATAAAATATGATGAACGTCCACATATCATAGATTTTATTGAGATTATATGAATAATAATGATTAATCCATTAATGCATTACGATAATAAATTAGATTGAACCAAGCTCGCGTTGTCAGAGCTAATCATTTTCTTATGCGTATTGGCGCTATTGCTAGACGCGCGACGCTTTCTCCTTGCAGGATATTGTCCTCAGAGGAGTAAGTTAGCCGCCTTCTTCCGAGGACAAGAGAGAAGCGTATAAGCATTGTCCATGAATAATTTCAACGAGATTTTTATCGCTGTTGTAAACTCTCGGCCTCGCGTCCGGCCGCTCCCGGGGGCGCGTAACAGAAATTTATCACGCTCGTTAAGCGTGGAAAAACTTTCGAGCGAACTTTTGCGACGTAATTGCTCGAGGTAGCCCCGACACGCTTCATACGAGCCTGAAACAGACGCAGCCACGAACGGCCGTAAGCGATTATGTTCGAACTGAAAGCAGTTTAGCATTCGATTGATGCCCTTCAATTTACTATCCAAATATATGATTTCATAATGGGTAAAATACTTAAAAATATTATCAGTATCAAATGACTACATTGCTTTGTTTCTTTAATTGTGATATTATGTACTCCTTAGTTCAGAGCTGTGTTTTAAGACCGACAAATATTCGGTGCGTAGTTTACTTGAATTAAAAATTGTAAGATTTACATATAAATGTTATTATAAGCACCAAGACCCGCTTTGACCATGTTGCGTTTTCTCATCTTAATTATTTAAAAATATTATATTAATTCGATAAATATAAGTATAAATATAATGTTTTTAAATAATTAGTTTAATAAAATAGTTATTAAATATTATTAAATTTTGTTAAAATATTTTGATGAATTGAACAAGAAGATTCTCATCAATCTTTATCTGTATGTTTGTGACGTGAGAACAAAAGTTTGGATTCGTGGTTTAGACGGGTATCTTCAGAGATATAGATATCTAACAGATTAGCGAGACGTATTTCCGATTAATACAGATATGTCTGTGGCGTTTCAACGCGCTCTATGTATGATGTAACGTTCAATCGGCCAGATAATTTCGCGTAACAATCGCGTCGCCGCTTAATTAACTTATCGGCACTTCCGAATGAACACTTCGAAGAAATTGTAACCATTTAATGCAGTCTCCGCTCTCGACTGATTCGCTTCAGCCGGTAAAAAGACTTTTCCAGACTTGATTCGCGAAGAACAAGAGCAAGCGGCGCGGCCGAATCGCGTGGATGAGGCTGTCGACACGATTTTGCTGGGGATCGAGATTAATCGATGGGACGAGGATGGGAAAGGGAAAAGGGTAGATTGGCGACTGAAAAAAAGCACGTCGGTAAGAAAACGGGTAGATGCTTCTCTGCGAAGTGAAAAAAGGCAGCGAGAGAGCTCAATTAATCGAACTCTCGACGAAAGACTCCCTCGCTATCGATAAAAGTCCGCGAAGGTGGGGTAAAGGAAGTTACTGAAGTTTCTCCTTCCTTGTCCTTCGTATCCAAGCGGATTGTTCGTAAAACTTTTTCAGAGATTCGCCATGCAATCATAATTTATGCATTTAGAGATACGAATGTGCTCTTATTTTATGGCACCATTTTCCGTTGATTATTTCGAATTATTTTCAACTCATTCTCACGATTTATTTCTTGACGTAACTGTCTGCCGAAATTATTGAACCTATGATACTTTGTTGAAAAATTGCTTTCCTCGCGATTATAAATGGAACAAAAAATAGATGGATAAAGATAACTAAGAAAACTAGAACAATTAATTTGTTCTATTGTGACAGATTTTTGATACGTATTTCTAAATATTTTTCTGGGAAGGATATTATCTAATTTGAACATAAAATCTATAAAGTTGCTGAAATTTTTAGGAATTTCTTAATTTTTAAATACAAATTTATATGTGATGTAAAGATATATGAACTTGTACTTTTCCTCACATAAAAAATTTTCTCGAAGTTTTTTCAAGAATAAAGAATATTATTGAATTTCAGTCATTGAACTACAGTCGTGATGTATTTCCTGAAATACACTAACAATAAAATATACGCTCGGTCTCTGTTTTTCCAAATATGACATTGACGCAGCAATGATTATTTCGTATTTTATCAATCATTGCCACAAGAATCTTGCATCGTGTCAGAACATGAAATTCGTTTTCCGTTTATCCGGCTTATGGATTCTGTAGTTCGATATTATATATCGCAGAAAGAAATAAACATCATTGGAAATTTGATAGTTTCTCAATACCGGATATTTTGCTTTGTATATTGTTCATTTTACACTTCTTTAGATAAATCGATATTGAGCAGAAAATAGCGAGGTGTAAAGTGGTAAAATAAATTGATTTGTCAGAAAAGGATAGAAATATTATATAAGTAAAATAATGGATTTATTATTTGAATTCAATATTGAAATCATTAGAAATGTCATATTTAATTTAAGTAAACCGGCATAATACAATGGATTTATAAAAATTGTTAATAAACTGTGCTGTATTTTATCCAGATAAGTATCAAAATAAATTTTAACTAACCCGCGCCCGCGGCGCCTCCAATTCTCCTTGAGAACAATCCATCTCGCCTCACCGGACCAATCCAGCACTTGAAACGAGCCTTCAGGCTCTGCCATTAATTTCAGACAAGAAGAATCATCCTCGGCGTTCTTTACACTCATAGAAGCGAGGAAGACGTCTCCGTTTCGCGCGTTTTATTAATATTTAATGCGAACCGTTCGCACGCTCACATTTTCATCCAGGCCCGTCCCATATTGGCGCTATAACTCTTCCAATCTGAATCGCGCTAGCTCTCTCCCGCCGAGAGTCACCTACCCCTTCAGGACCCGTCGTTTCCCTCTCACCACGTTCGACGTGAAATTGGGGATTTTATCGTGACGCTGTATTAACGAACTCCGGCGGACGAAGAACGAGCGTGGATTTAACGGGCGGATCAAGACGGCTATTCCCGCCGGGGAAGAAATTTAATATCGTTTCTGCTCACGTCTCGAAGCGATGAGTTTCGATAAGTGCGATATCCCCTTAACTTTCGAGTACTCGAAAAATGTTTTATGAGACTCATCCGCCGTGTGTATACATCGCGTATCGATGCCGGATCGGTTTAATCATCGGCACTGAACGATTGTTTCCTTTCTCATTGATGAATCTTCTCGCTGAAATGAACATCTTTTGAGGACGAATCAATTATCGGACAGTTTTCTTTTACATTAGCTTCTTTTTATCTGTTATTGCAACGTTAAAGAAACTCCAAAGTTTTGTCTTTTCAAACATTTGGATATAATGCTCTATCTCCTACTATTTGACTGTGATAGATTAGTTTGACAGCAAAATAAAGTAATTGATTGAGATTGATTGATTTTGCGGTAATTAAATTAATTCTTTCCCCTTGCATTATTTACGATCACATACAAGGCGTATGAGCTCTGATTGACTTAAATATTGCTATATCAAAACTGAGATTGCATTATTTATGTACGTATAATCGACATGTGTGAAGGTATTTTCATAAATTATCACCGATCGGGGCTGTCATACGGCGCGTTGTATCAATTAATTATGTACGGGAATAATATTTTTTTGTTACGCTATTGTCCAATTACCGTAACTGCGTCAACGTGACCGATAGTGTTGCCGCGGAGAACTAGGTCGGCGATTGCGTTCCAATAAATATTGTCTATCTGAAACAACCGCGCGCGCCGACTTTGAATACTTTAATTACTCGACCCATAAGCCTCGTTTATCATCGTTAGCGGGCATGTACGACCTGAAGCCATTAATGTTACAGTGCCACCTTTTTTCGGCCGGTACACCTATTCCCTCGTGCGTCCCACGAGAAAATAATGTTCTCGATGGTTTAGATCGATACCATCGTAAAATTGCATTTTCAGGCAAATACAGTGATAAGACACACACTGCACGTATTTTTATGGGAGCAGCAGTGATAATAGTCAGTCGAAACGTATTTGTCTACTTCGAAATAAATGAGAAGGTAATTTTCAGCCGCACATTACAAATTATCGTACGTTACACAAATTATCTTCACTCGCTATAATTTCGACTTTATCGCATTGGTATTTATGAACGAGACACATTAAATTTATGCAAATCCCATTTGCATATTCTGCACAGCTTTTGTAATCAATATAGCTTTTTATAGTACAGACAAACATAACTTAATCGAATATTGTATATAGTTTAGCATATCCCATTTGTTTATTATGTTATCAGACGTGTCCCGTTTCTGCATAACTCCGTTTGATTTACGCGCAGAAATTAATGATTCGTGTGCGCGCAGAAAGTGCCATTTTACGAAATTGCCAATAAATAATCCGGCACGATTTAGTCGGCCGGGCATCGTTTATAATATTTTCCGACGTGCGCCATCAAAATAAATCACAGATTCACATCAAGATCGTAGTCAATCATAGGACAGACGTTTCCTGCATTTCCATTGAGTCGACTTTCCAGGGAAATCGTTTTATTTCCCAGCATGGGCTTCCCTTTTGCGTTGGCGCGACGCGACAGTTATTATTTATCTCAAGAACAAAGAACGCGGACCTGCTCCCTTTATTTTCTTTTGTTTCTTCTTCAACCATCTCTGAAAACGGGATCTTACCAGAGACAGGCTATAATAATGAAGCATTTGCTTCTTCGGTTTGCATCACGCTTAGTACGCCAACCATGAAAAACTAAAGATTATAATAGAAAACATGCCGCGTTTTATCTTACATTTATCCTTTGTTTCTTGATTTTATTTTCCCTGTAATGCAACAAGCTGTATAGCTGCATATCTTTTTAAATATAAATCTATCGATGCTGATTTTATTTTGCATTTAACTGTCTCTAATATATTTACGTAATTTTTCTTTTCACAGTGTATACCATTTGTATTACTAAAAATAACATTATGTCTGTTATATTATTTAACTGAAAATTATTGCAATTATTAAATTATTGCTGTTTACAAAAAAATATCAATCGATAATTATTTAATGTATGTATATTTTATGTTAATTAAAAAAAAGTAACTATCCCATTTTATTTTATATTGCAGATATGGAATCAGAGTGGATCCCTGGCAATGGTTTCTGTTCCTTAGCGGCAAGAACGATGGCGGCGAAGAATATCCCTCGTTGTTGCTCATCTTCTGTAAGTGAAACTGCCGATATGTCATTTTATATTCGTTCAACGGAAACAGAGCTGTCAATATTCGTGGCCTCGATTACAAAGATCGACATTTATTGTAAGATTTCGTCTTTGTCGATATCAATGGAAGTATACGTCATCGGAAAAGTATTGATAGTGCCTCTTACTATTTAACAACTTAGTATGACTTTTGTCTGTCAAGACAAAATTTCGAAGTGTGGATCGCGATCCGTGACAATAAAAGCGAAATTTAGAGTCTGGCATAGCTTTCCTTCTCTCGCCGATACAGCTCGATTTTATAGGTTTTCGTATAAGTGAAAAGCGATTACGAGCCAGTCAACTTTTCAAAGTAGCCAATGAATAGATATCGTAAATAATTCAAATTTATGTATCTAACAATGCAATCTAACAATTTGTCTAATATTTAATTCTCAATAATTTTTTGTTTCTAGGGTTTTATTGATGCTTCATAAATTTCTCTCTCTCTCTCTCTTTCTCTCTCTCTATCAAATACAAGATTGATTTTACTAAATTCCGAAGCAATAAACTCGTAGAGACCAAAATTTATTTAAATAAAAAATTAGAAAAGCTGTTGGGCATTGCATTGCTAGATATATAAATTTGTATTATTTGCGATACGGTATCTATTCATTAAGTATTTAAAATGAAAAGCTAACTGGCTCGCAATTGCTTTTCGCTGTGGAAATCTATAAAATCGAGCTGCATCGGCGAGAAAAGGAAAGCTACGCCAGACTTTAAATTCCGCTTTTATTGTCATGGGTTTGCGGTCGGTCCACGTTAATTTTCCAGTATCCGCGGTAATTCAATTTCACCGTCGTTATATTTTTCCGGTCGTTATATTTTTTTTTATTATTTAATCTGTATATAATGTAAATATCCGTCGATATTTCCCCTTCTGAACACAGCTGTAATGGCAGATATAACTTTACCTCTGAAGGTAATGGATAAAAAAGACGGGAACAATGCAAGTCAATTAAAAAATGTCGAGAATAATGGTTTGAGAATTCAAAGTCAAACTCTACCTTCTCTTGACAGCCGACCATATATAACGCCCAATCAGAAGTATAAAAGTTAATAAAAAAAAAAAAAGAATCGAGGGAGAATGCGTTAAAACAGTCTCGGGTGAAATGAAGCGAAGTGTGCGCGGGGCAACGTCGGCGGTGCTGATATGAGATGGGAGGAAAAATGAAGTCTGTTTCTGTCTGGCAACTCAGCTTTTGTTTCAGTTATCTCGTTATGGTCCGCATATTGCAAAATTACAAAAAGGTGGAAACAATTTGGCGGCGTAATTCCCCACCTCCCTAGGATTCATCGATTCTGAATGTTCCTCTAGGTGTTTATTTCAGTTGCTTATTTCAGGAACAGCATTCGTGCGTTTTTTTGCAATGCGGTACAATTTGCTTCTGCATCCCTACGATACTGGGATGCTGGGAGAACTAACGAGGAATCTTTTTTGTAATTTAATTTATAAATTTACTACTTAATTTACAATGTGTTTGCTAGAGAAATTATTATTTTGTTTGAAAGAAATTCCAAGAGATTCTATTTATACATAGGTATTTTCTGTTTTGTTAAATATATATGTATGCTACTGCATAGCGAATGATAGTGAGTTTGTATTGAATTAAGTTAAATGCAAATAATATATAAGAAAGAAATATTCGAGAAGCGCTAATATTTGTGCTGACATTTAGATTTTACGATTCTGCTCACTATAAAAATACACAGTCGCAATATCGCGCAGCACCCAGTAGTATTCAAACTCGTTAGATTTTGCGATGTAATGTTTTTAGCCTAGACTTTTAAAGTGGGTCGAAATTCAACGGGTCTCGCGTGAAGCATAAATTTTAAAGCACGCAAGGCATCGTTCCTTTAAATAGCGAACATATTCCTCGCGTATTGTCCCCTTAGTGCCGCGCAGCGCGCTCGCTTGTTGCGTTTTCATCCGAGGTTGCATCGCCATAACTTACATACGTGCAACAGCCGCGTACGTGTGCAGTTTTAAATGTGGGTTGCACGCACAGTGGTTGCAAATCAACAGCAACAGAAAGACCATGAAAAGTTCTGAAATATTAATAATGTGAAGAAAATTGTATAATAACGCAAATGTCTTTCTTTTTTAAACTGACATTTTTAAATGCACTAAAGAGTTATTTTACAAAATAAAAAATCTTTCGTTATGATATTGTTACAGCGTTAGAAATATAACATCGGATTTCTATATTCATATTCTTTTTACAAGAAAATAATGTTACAGCGTTAGAAATATAACATCGGATTTCTATATTCATATTCTTTTTACAAGAAAATAATGAGTTACGCTTATAAAAATAACATTAGCTTCTCTTTTCGATCCCTCTTCAGATACTTTAAAATTGATTCTATTTGGAGGAGTTATTTTTGCTCTTACTATCGTTCTCTAAAAGGGATTCTTGTATAATTTCCATGCAGTTATTTTCCTAACAGTTTCAATCCCTAATGCAGATTGAACGCGGGCGGCTTACGTCGGCTAAGCCGCCATAGAGGGTTGCATCATTTACACATAAGGGAACGTAATGCTCATGGGAAACTATGGCTAATAGTTCCCGTATTTTAGAATCTGCGTCGAGCGCCCCGCCGTCGCTCCTTCCAACTAGGGAGGTTGCTAAACTCGTTTCCTTTTTACAACCAACCCGACCTTGTGTTTCTGCCTGCCCTACGTGGATGGGATGTGTTTCGTTTCCCCTATTTTGCGCGACCCTTCGCATAATAATTTTCATAGCGAGCGAGCTGAAATTGCTTTTTAAAGATACTGGATCTCTCGTGACGGCCGTTTAGTAATTAGAATATTAATTATTCGACGTATCAGATACATTTGGCGAGCTAGATTATTACGAGGTGGGGGTGGATCCTTTTATTCGTATCTGTTTTGCGGATCTATCTCTCTTTACTTTAGCACCGTTAAAACTTTCGGTCGCGTTATTTGTTAACGGAAATGACAACTGTTTCGGCGACGGGTTTCGGTAAATGGTTACAGAAAATGTCAGACTCCAGAGCAACGCGTCGAATTGAAATTTTGTTATGTGTATCCCTTGACAATGCAGAAACACCGGATTAATGAAGCCGTGCAGTTTGTTATGAACGCGACAAGTACTTCTATTAGTTTACATATTTCTTTATCAGATGTTTACATATTTCTTTATTCAGATGTATCATTTCATTTGTTTGTTAAATATTTTGCGATATATTAGAAATTTTCGACATATTTAATATGTCGTAAAAATGAAGATCAATATAAATTCATTATTCATTGGAATTATTTATCCATCAGATATCTATTTCGCATTTCGTTTTTTAATAAAACAGATTATTACAAATCGATTTGTGATATAACTCCTTTTCATTAAAAATATAAAAATAAACTTCCGCGGTGATCATTTATGCAGCTTCAGCCCAATTTTGCGACAATTACAGATAACGGATATAGGTCATTTGAAATAGAAACGTGTTGATTTAACAATGACGTCGCGGTGAACACGAGAATAGCGAACGAGAAAGAATTGGATAAATACATCGTTTCACTTTTCGCTTTTCGGAACTTTTACCCGCCGGGGTTTTCAGGGTGAGGAAATGGACCTTCCGGGGGAACGTGTAGCGGTTGTCCGTTCGGCGGTTTTGCGGAAGTTCCGGGTACGGGAAGTTGCAGGGTAACTTAAAGTTAACTGTAACTCAATGCTCGTAGCCCTCACGCTGCATAACGAGTCCGGGACTAAATGTGAAAGGGTATGCCGACCGGCGACCGCCGACCATCCAGCCAACCGCCATGATAGCTCACTGGCGAGTGGGTTTGTTCTCATAACGTCTGCAACATTGTACGGCACGCCCGGTCGTGGTGTATCTTACTCTCTGCACGCCGAATGTTAAGACCGAATCCGGCGAGATTTGCATGCCGTGTCTGTGGATTTCGCGCGCGCACGCCGAGCGCTAGAAACAACCGCGCCGCGGTAAAGCAATTAACGATGTCCACTGTAGCTGTCAATCCCCCTGAGCCAGTCGCAGTAATGGTATTTCGCGAAAGAGTCCACTACTGCAATATACGTACAACGATCTCGTCGCTTTTAGATTTCTTTTAGACGACTATACGTTAGATGCTATATTTTTCGTACGTAAATCGCGCTAAATCGTTCGAGAATGTCATCCAGAAGCTGCTACAACCGTGAAATGAACATTTTCATTTTTTTTCTTCTTCTGAAAGAGGTTTCCCCTTTTAATTTTCTCCCGAAATAATTGGTTTACATGTCATTTCACGCAGACGGTTTTAAGCGGTTTTTGCATTGCGGCTTAATATTCAAAACAATTATCACTTTTTCCTCATCTCTTATCTAAACCGCTATCAAAATTACGCAAGCGTCGCGAATATATTTCGCGAGAGGTGAAATTTTAAAAGGACCGACGGACGCGCGGCGGCTGAACCCCGGGCGCTGCGCCGGGAATGAGAGAGAATTCGCGCGCGAGATAGAGATCGCTTTCGCGTTAATTTCGAAAGGCGAGTTTCCGGGCCAAGTTTTCGCGCCGGGTGTGATGTTATACGTTTCGCCGTTCATGCTGGTCATTAAAGCGCAGAATGGGAAACGGGAGGGTACGGGTCGTCGTATGAATTACTTAATCCGCGCACGAGCAGCACGGCGCGCAAGTAATCGAATCAAATGCGAGATTGCCCTCGCGAACGCGAAATCCCTCCTCACGCATTCCCGCTATCTGCGCATCCCTCCCGTTTATTGCCTATGCGCTCGGCCTAGCTAAACGTGGACTTATTACAAGTGCGCATCGACCCAACCATTATGGGCGTTTTTGTACCTCTCCCACCCGTATGCGCTTCTGATTAGAGATATAGCGGTCTCGTGTACCATTATCTTTCCGCATGATTTTCTTTCTTGTTACAAAAATCTGAATATAGAAAAGATAAGCATCGAGAAGCATACAGATCATAATGTATTATTAGC